TCCTGGACCACATTTCTGTGAGTGCTGTGCATTCATTATAGTTACAAGTAGTTTTCCATTATCTCTGCTTCAATGTAACCATTTTGTAATCATTTTAGTTTAGCAACTCTACTGTTATCTAACATTCTTTGTTTTGTGAAGTTTGCATCATGAATTGACTGAGGACACAGTTTTTCATTTTTTTATGCAAATTTTTCATTTATTGCTTTTGTAGTTCTTCTTTATCTGCAGAGGCCAAACATGCTATTGTACCAAACTGCTTGAGCATCACAGTTAATTTCAGCACTTCAGACTTCAAAAAGAGGCACAGAGGCACATGGCACATTCATTAGCCCCTACAATCATAATTAGTATTTTTTCTTAAACTCTCAGTTGTCAGAGGTGATGAAGTCAAGTGCCAGAAGACACTAAAAATTCCTGGAAGATGGACTTTTTGTAGAGCCATAGGGTTAATTGAGTTTTAACCAGATAAGCCTATCAAGTGTATAAAAAGCCTAGACAAGGTCTTTAGTATGTTCAAGTAGATAACCTCTTACCAGACCAAGTGTTTGTACCCAACAGGGAGCCTTGTCAGACTTGTAAGCAAAATTATTGTTTTATTTTTTTCTTAGTGCTAAAAAAAGTTCATCTCATCCCTTTGCCACTGGAATGTTTAAAAAATGTATATTATTTGATTTAAATGCAATGATTGCTTTGGATATCAAAATCATCCCATAAATTCAAGTTCTCAGGGGAAATTGCCAATTTATTATCTCTTCTCTAGGACTTCATTCTATTCTCAAATGCTTAAACAGTTCAGCACCAGATTTTAGTTTCTTATGCTTCTTTAGAATTCTAAAAACTACTTTTGATTGCTCTTCAGAAAAGCAGACAACAAAAAGAAAAATCATTGCCAAAGATTATGGTTCCTCTGGGAGTATTTACATTACTCTCCTCTATTTCTCTCTTTTTAAAAAATTAAAACATAAATACACAGATCATGTATACATTAATGCATTTATGGTGTACAATGTACTGATTTCATATAGAATTAGGAACGCTTACATCACACTGATCAATATATACCTCATTTTGTTTACTTAATTATTGTGTTAAGACATTTATACTCTATACTTAATAGATTCGACATGTGCCCTTCTTCTCTATTTCTCTATGGAGTTTCCACAAGAATTATATGATATGGAAATGAAACCTGGTGCTCACCTGAGAAAGAGTTTATTCTGTATTTACTTGTAGGCAATTGAAAGCTTCTTGGCATCTCATGCACACTTGTCTGTGATTAGCTTTTGTTGTCCTCTTCATACTGTTTCATTCCTGTTAACATCCACTGGTGACTTACCATTAATCATATTGCAGACTCCTTTGTGCTGGTCTAAGGTTCTACCTCATTAAGAAGGCAGCACTTCATCTTTTGTCTTTGGCTATAGGTCCTTCCCTTAAGTCTATCAATTGAAATTTCCTTTCTTCTTTTTATGCTGCCAGCCTCCTACTAAGGGGATTGCATTATTTCTCCATTTACTCCTATCTGGTTCCACATGAACGTCTAGAACTGTGAATTGTCTGAAATTTTACTTTTCTTACAAACTAACAAAGTATGCTGACAAATTTAATGGATGCTTACAGTATTTTCCTTTGACTATAGTTGTCATACTATTGGTTTATTTCACTTGAGATCAATCACTGGGACAGGATCTTGGATTTTGAACTACAAACAGAAAAGATGCACATGCTTCCTGGCACTTAGCGTGCTTTGTACTCTCTTCCTATCCTTTGGTTATTTGGGGGAGAAGTATTAACATAATAATGCCTCTTGTCGTGGTCTGTCAGCCCCCTTCCTAGCACTAGGGTGCTTTCTCTTGCTGAAATATTTGCTATTGACCTGAGGCCATATAATCAATAAATGCTCATTTTTCATCATCTCTGAATCCACATCCTAAATCCTGTTTTCACCTCTATGTCTGTACACATAGGCACGCATACTGGTAATGTATGTAGCCTGGCATAAGTAGAATATCCTCTTAATAGGCCACAGCTTTGTTATACCCTGATGACCCACAACTTAAGATTTCTGCATAACAGAACACTAATTCTACTTCCTAGAATTTGCAGAAAGCTGCCATGGTAATAAACCCATTCCTGGGCTTTCAGATCTTGTCCACAGGGTATAACAAAGCTGTGGCCTATAAATCTAACATCTGAATTTTATATTTGTTTTATTTTATCTGAATCACTTTCTACTTTTTTCCAACTGTTATATTATTAATAATGAATGTAGTAGTCCAAAACACCTTCAGCTTAGGTGTTAGAGCTGAGTATTTTAGGTGCTATTAATATATCCTGTTTACAGAAAAATGAGAAAAATGAAGGCACAAGAAGGTTAACTTAACTTGTCTAAGGTTCTAGAGTTAGTAAGTGAGAGAGCAGGATTTAACCTTAGCATTCTACCTCTGCAGTCTGTAGTCATTACTGTTTTTTACTGCCTTTCTAAACTGTTGTCATATGAGAGGAGTAGGAAGTAGGTATTGTTAGAAATTCATAGCAGGGGCATTAAAGTTAGAGTTTATGGAGGAATGAGTTTCAACTGATTTTGAAGTAAGGGTTTGAATATGTGGAACAGAGAGCATTCCAAGATGCACAGAATGAGCAAATGTTCAGAGATATGATAAACCAGAATATGTGTAGGGAATAATGAGAAGATTAGATTAACGCTGTAGAAATAATGCATAGTGAATGAACTTAGTACTGAAAGTTTATCCATTAGAACTTTACTGAATACTGAGTGTTTATATTGCAGTTTGTAGATTAAGATTAATTGGATTCTTATAAAAATACTGCTAATCTTATTTATTAGGAATACTGATTCAGTTTTCCAATGGAAATACATTAATAGTTAAATAATAAAATAAATTCTATAGTCCTTATTATGGAGGGTTTTAGTCTTTTCATTTTTCTTAAGCTAGTTCTGCCCATACCTGCATAATTTGTTCAGTTTAATTTGTGATGAAATTGGTCCTGCAGGAGGAATTGGATATATGTTGAATTTCTGCCAGATTTCAGAAAAGAATATGTCATTGGCATTTTTAGATAATTGAACATGGGTTTGTTATTTAAAAAACCCAATATACATAGTCAAAAAACAGATATCAGGTGGAAGATAAAACTGTTTCAAAGAAATGTCATGTTTAGCCTAGTGAAAATAAGATGGGAAGGTGATTTCTTTCTCAAGCTTATGGATAAAGAAATCTGAACTCTCCTTGGGTTTTGTAACTAATTCACCACTTATTTTTACATAAAATAAAGAAATAATCCTTGAACATACATTCCTTTGTTTGTTATATTAACAAATTAGAAGAGGCATTTGTTTCAGGGAAATAAACTGACCCCAAAGGATAGGAACTGTAGAAGTATGAGAAGTATAGAGTTGGCCAAGTGGGAATTTCTTTGAAGAATGTTTTGTTTTGACTTGTATGGATAGACTATTTGTGGTGACATAAAAAAGTTGAAGCTTAATTTCCTTTGCTAGAATTGAGAAGCAAACCTCTCAATGACTTTCTGTGTAGGACTCTAGATTTGCATTATCCAGTAGCTTTTTTTTTTTTTTTTTTTTTTTTTGAGACAGAGCCTCAAGCTGTCCCCCTGGGTAGAGTGCTGTGGCATTACAGCTCACAGCAACCTCCAACTCCTGGGCTCAAGCGAGTCTCCTGCCTCCGCCTCCCAAGTAGCTGGGACCACAGGCGCCCGCCACAACGCCCGGCTATTTCTTGGTTGCAGCCGTCATTGTTGTTTGGCGGGTCCGGGCTGGGGATTTGAACCCGCCACCTTAGGTGTACGTGGCTGGCGCCTTAGCCAGCTGAGCTATAGGCGCCGAGCCTCCAGTAGCTTTTTTGAAATAACTAAAAATAACATTAGGGATTATCTTTTTCCAAGCTAAACTTGATCAGTATAATGCCATTTTTATATCTAGTACTTTATCTGTTTGGAAACATAATTCGCACTATAGATTTCTTAGGACTTGTTAAGCCTAGGTTCATAGCTATTTTAGAGTAAGTCCTATTCCTAGATTATTATCTGCTGTTGATTCTAACTACATGTTTTTGCACATGCTTATAAAGTCCTGTGTCAGAATATATTGAAAACATTCCTTGTGATAAAATGAGTAGAAATAGCAAAACCAAATCCTAACTGACCTTTAAATGAGTCTTTGCATTGTAAGGGCTAAAGGCTAAAACTAAGGACTTCTAAATATTTTTATCCAAAGAACTATTTGAAATGTACCTAAAGGAAATTTTTATTTTTTAAATCTTTTAATTTGGGAAAGACATTCAAATTGTGATTGGTTTTAACTCTGATCAGAATGAACCTGTAAACTTTCTTCTCTGGATCTATTGTTCGTCATTTCCTCTACCTTGAACTTTCAATTCTTCATTAATTTCTTCCTAAGCAAAACATATTAGCTTATAGTTTCAGCTATATCACAATCTTGTAGGTATGACCCTGTGTAGGTTACCAGAGTTAATCACCTAAGCCTTAGGCTTTTGCTGCTGTACAATGGGATTATTTATTATTTAACATGTCATTTCCAGCATGTGTTCTCAGTGCCATGTAGACAGGCCTGCATTTGGAGGCTTCCATTCCTGAAAAACTAATAATATGTAGATATACGTGCACAAAGTGGGGTGTTGGGTAAGAGGGATAGGAAATGAAGAGTACTATAAAGGAAATTAAGAATGTTAGCTTTATAACTATGAACTGTACATAATTTTATTTACTGTATATATCTCCCAATTAAATAAACAGGATAGAAAATAAATTTGAACTAGAGCTGATTTTTAAATATTTTTTTCCCTTCTCTGAGACTTAATTTCTAAGCATGGAGTTAATTTTATCTATCCTTACCTAGTAGTCTTCATAACTTGTTAAGAAAAATAAAATAGAGTTCGTTTTATTAAAAAGGCATTAAATATTAGTTGGTAATGTCTCTTTCCTTCTTTTGTTTTCAGAGTATGTATGCAACTGCTCTGTAGTCGGGAGCCTGGATGTGAATCGCTGCAACCAGACTACAGGGCAGTGTGAGTGTCAGCCTGGCTATCAGGGACTTCTCTGTGAAACCTGCAAGGAGGGCTTTTACCTGAATCACACTTCTGGTCTCTGTCTGCCTTGTGACTGTAGTCCACATGGAGCCCTCAGCATGCAGTGCAACAGGTAAGCAACAGAGGATAGAGATGAAGTTTATTTTATTTTATCAAGAAAAGAAAAAAAAGGCTTTTGCTCTTAAGGACCAGACTGGCATAAAAAAGGGAGAGAGGAGGGCCATATATTTACAAAAGACTTTGTAGACTCTTATTTCCTCATTTTATATGCTATATTTAATGTCATGATTAAAAAGCTTTTTATTTACTGATTTAGTTCTTCAGAACTAAAGAATTGGGTCACAAATTTTTGTTCTATGATGGTTTCTATAAATTTCATGGAAAAAAATTATTGAGGAAAGCATCCACTTTCTGGAAGAATCTACCTTCAGTCATTTCCAGTGGAAATGTTCTTGGTATGTTTAAGCTAACATTGGGGTTTGAGGAAATTTTTTCTTTGGTTAATTTTTTTTCTTATCAAAATTCTAGATTTGTTTCTTTGGGGATCTGATGCTTAAACTTAATAATATCCTAATTTCTTATCTCATGGTAAGTAGACTAGTTTTATTGAATTTACTGATACATTTTTGAGACCAAAACTAGATTAAGCCGTAATTATCTGAAAATTTTAGTTACCTTTAAAATACTATGTTGTTTGGAGTTGACTCAATGAGTGGCTGTATGTAAAATGCCTAGCACATACCATCTGGCTTGTTTTAATTTTAAAGGAATGTTGTTGGCTTAAATGAGGGAATTTTTTTAGAACTTTTAGCTCCTTGGCAGAAAAAGTACTTTATGCTTTATCTTTAGTGATAAGGTATTTTGGTGCTTTTATATTTTACTATTATGATATATCATAATATACTGCTATTTAAATACAGAAGTGAACCTAACTGAGAAGTTTATAATTTCAAATGCAACAATAGTCAATGTTTATAATGCTTGCATTTTAAAGTAGTTATTTGTCTCTAATAACTACTTATTTTCACAACAACCTCTCATATGGAAGAGATACTAGATTACAAGGATAGTAAGTGCCTGAGAAGAAGTTCCAAATTAGGTCTTCCAATTTCAAGTCCAGTGTCCTTACCAGCCTCATATGTGGCTTTTATGAGAAAACTGATAATCATTCTGTTGTTTGAGATTGAGAATATAGTAGTTGCTTACCACTGCTTTTTCCACTTCCCAGAGACATGCCCATAGAAGTTGTAGTCAGAAGTTTTCACATTCTATAAGTTTTAAAGACAAGGTATTGATAAGTTAGTTATTCTGGTATCCCATGGAATGCCCCCTACTTTATTCTGAATAAGATTTCTGCACACATATTTGCCTTAAATACTTTTAAGAGATAGAAATGTATTTATTTCTAGGCCAACTGCCTTACTGGAGGAGAAGGAAATAAGGAAAGAATTAAGGGAGAGTTTTAGAAGCTGGAAAAGAGGGAACAATAATACTACTAATATTTACATTATATCTTACTGATTTCATAGTTCTTTTACAGATTTTTCTAATTTATCTTTTTCCTGCTAGTTAATGCTATTAAATTTAATGGTAAAACACTATCCTAAAAATAGGTAGTTACCATAATGTAGTTGAAAATATACTAGATTAGTAATCTAAAGGTCTAGGGCAGAGGTCTGCAAACTGTGGCCCACAAACCAAATTCAACCTACTGCCTATTTTTATAAATAAAGTTTTACTGGACAGCTCTACTCATTGTTTACGCATTATCTATAGCTACTTTGGTACTATAGTGACAGTGTTGACTAATTGCGATAGAGACTGTAAGGCCTTCAAGACTGAAATATTTAGGCTTGGTGCCTATAGTTCAAGTGGCTAAGGCACCAGCCATATACACCAGAGCTGGCGGGTTTGAATCCAGCTGGGCCTGCCAAACAACAGCCAAAAAACTGCAGCCAAACTGCAGCCAAAAAATAGCCAGGCATTGTGGCGGGCACCTATAGTCCCATCTACTTGGGTGGCTGAGGCAAGAAAATCACTTAAGCCCAGGAGTTGGAGGTTGCTGTGAGCTGTGATGCCCCGGCACTCTACCCAGGGTGACAGCTTGAGGCTCTGTCTCAAAAAAAAAAGAAAGAAAAGATCTCTTTCTCTCTCTGCTATGTGAAGACATAGAAGGCAGGCAGTCTTCAAACCTGGGAAGAGTCTGTACTGGGGATCTGAATAGGGCAGCACCTCAATCTTGGACTTCCCAGCCTCCAGAACTGTGTGAAATAAGTATCTATTGTTTAAACCACCTAGTTAAAAAAAAAAAAGACTGAAATATTTATTATTTGGCTTTTAAAGAAAAGGTTTGCCAATCTCTGGTTTTTATGGTGATGTATGGCCAAACATGGTGTAGATAGCTATATAACCATGTAACTTTAGGTAAGTCACATTAACTTCTTTTAAGTGTTTGTCTTTTTATTTATGAAGTAGAGGTAAAAATCCATGTGCTATCTCTGTCCTCTACAGCTGTTTTAAGGATCAAACAAGATAGTGTTTGTAAGTTGCAGTTGCTACATAGATAATAAACATAATAACAGGAACCATTTATTGAGCATGCACTAAATGCTAGGGCTCTGTACTAACTGCTTTGGTGCATTCTCTCATTTAATCTTCACAAAAACTCTCTTGATAACACTGTTATTTCCCCATTTTTTTTTTTTTTTGAGACAGAGCCTCAAACTGTCCCCCTGGGTAGAGTGCCGTGGCATTACAGCTCACAGCAACCTCCAACTCCTGGGCTCAAGCGAGTCTCCTGCCTCCGCCTCCCAAGTAGCTGGGACCACAGGCGCCCGCCACAACGCCCGGCTATTTTTTGGTTGCAGCCGTCATTGTTGTTTGGCAGGTCCGGGCTGGGGATTCGAACCCGCCACCTTAGGTGTACATGGCTGGCGCCTTAGCCGGTTGAGCTATAGGCACCGAGCCTATTTCCCCATTTTGAATAGGCGAATTTTGATGTTTAGGTATAGTTAACTTGCCTAAGTTTATTTACAAAAGCAGCCATTCAATTCATTTGAACAAATGTAATTTGCAAAGTTTGTTGAATGACTGCATGGTTAATGTTTTTCTAGTATTTGTATTTATGTCCCAGAAACCCAGTAAAACCAAATACTGCATGTTTACCAGAACAGTATGTGGGAAATCTGTTTTAATTCTAAATACATCTGGGCATTGTGGCTCACATCTGTAATCCCAGCATGTTGGGAGGCTGAGGCAGGAGGATTGCCTGGGGCCAGGAGTTCAAGACCAGTCTGGGCAACATATTGAGACCCTGTCTCTGCAAATTAAAAAAAATTAGCTGAAAATTGTAGCATGTGCCTGTAGTCCCAGCTGATTTGGGAGGATTATTTGAGCTCAGGAATTGGAGGCTATAGTGAACTAATATGGTGCCACTATAGTCCAGCCTGGGTGACAGAGGAAGATTCTAGCTCTAAAAAAATTCCAGATGTAATTGATAGAATGTCAGGATCACATTTAGACAATTTGCTCAGGAAATGATATTTTAAGCATTTTATATTCTAACATGGGAATTTGTTACTTTTGTGTAGGTGCTTTATTGTGTTTTAGTTACACTTTAGGAACTTGGCTAGTTGTTTTGGGTTGATGTGTAATGAATTATAATTTTTCTTTAAAAAACTGGAAAATAGTTTCTGCCTTATCATATCATATAGAATATCAGATTTTCTAGTTGACTAATGCAGTAGGTAGGAGAGACCTATATTGTTATTGCAGTCATGTTGCTTAATGATGGGGATACATTCTGAGGAATGTGTCATTAGGATGTGAGCATCATAGACTGTACTCCCACAGACCTAGAGGTATAGCCTTGTGGTCCCCAACTCCTGGGCTGCTGGACTGGTATTGGTCTGTGGCCTGTTAGGAACTGGGCCTCACAGCAGGAGGTGAGCAGTGGGCTACTAAGCAGAGCTTCATCTGTATTTGTAGCTGCTCCTCACTGCTTGCATCACCACCTGAGCCCCACCTCCTGTCAGATGAGTGGTGACGTTAGATTCTTATAGAGGTGTAAGAATGTCACTATGTTACCTAAGGTAGTTTCTTTATGTAAACTGTACATGTGAGGGATCTAGGTTGCATGCTTCTTATGAGAATCTAATACCTGATGATATGAGGTGGAGCTGAGGTGGTGATACCAGCACTAGATGCTGGCACAGGAAAGGCTATAAATAGGGATTATTATTAGGAGAGAGGTAATAAACCAATTACTTGCAGACTTACATCAAAACCATTCTTCCCAACCCGTCTGTGGAAAAATTGTCTTCTATGAAACTAGTCCCTGGTGCCAACAAGGTTGGGGACCGCTGGTATAGCTTACTACACTCCTAGGCTATCTGGCGTAGCCTGTTGTTTCTGGCTACAAATCTGTACCACATGTTGCTGTACTGAATACTGCAGGCAATTGTAACATGATCTTAAATATTTTTGTATGTAAACATGTCTAAACATAGAAAGCATAGAGCAGAAATATGGTATAAAATATGAAAAATAGTATACCTGTCTAGATGACTGGAGCTTGCAGCAATGGGAGTGCTCTGGGTGAGAGAGGCAGTGAGTGAATACTGAGGGAAGGTGAAGGACTAAGACATCACTACATGCAACTGCAGACTTTGTCAACACTATGCATTTAGGCCACACTAATTTTATAAAAAAAATTTCTTTAAAAAAATTTAGCTTACTATACTTTTTTTACTTTATCAACTTTTGAATTTTTAAAATTTTCCACTCTTTCTTGATAACATAGCTTAAAACATACATACATTGTACAGGTGTACAAAAATATTTTCTGTGTATCTTTATTCTATAACTTTTTTCTATTTTTGTTTATTTTTTTGAAGTTTTGTTAAAATCTAAGACAAAAACACACCTAGCCTGGGCCTACACCAAGTCAGGATCATCAGTAGTACTGTCTTGTCCCACTGGAAGGTCTTCAGTCATAACATGCATGGAGTTGTCATCTCCTATGATAACAATGCCTTCATCTGGAGGCAGTACATCCTGAAAGGCTTCCCTGGGGCTATTCTACAGTTGACTTTCTTTTATAAGTAGAAGGAA